GGGGGGGGGGGGGGAGTGCAAGAGCGAGAGAGGCAAGCCGCCAGACAGGGAGCAAGATAGAAGGAGTACGTCAACGCGAAAATAGAAAGAGCAGGGTGAATGAATTTGGACGCCCCACTTGCTGCAGGATAGGCAAGTCAGGATTGAGGTGGGATCTTGAGTGACCAGGGCTAGCGTGATACTCCAAAAACACTCTCGACATTTAAAACGCCCCAAGACCTTCAAGTACGAATTATTCGGATCACACACTACCTGACGTTTCAGAAACGATGGCAATAGCAGATGCTTCACTAAAGAGTGTATTGTATATCAAATTCCATAGAAGACGGGCACTAGCAAACGCGATTGACCCGGAGGGAGTGCCAGGGCTACGAGGCAGAAAGCTCTCCAACGTAACAGCGACCGGCTCTCAACTCTCCTTTCCTCTGTCTCTCTCGTACTCCCAACAACCCCCCTCTCCCAACAACCCCCCTCTCCCAACAACCTCCCTCTCCCAACAACCNACCCCCCTCTCCCAACAACCCCCCTCTCCCAACAACCCCCCTCTCCCAACAACCCCCCTCTCCCAACAACCCCCCTCTCCCAACAACCCCCCTCTCCCAACAACCCCCCTCTCCCAACAACCCCCCTCTCCCAACAACCCCCCTCTCCCAACAACCCCCCTCTCCCAACAACCCCCCTCTCCCAACAACCCCCCTCTCCCAACAACCCCCCTCTCCCAACAACCCCCCTCTCCCAACAACCCCCCTCTCCCAACAACCCCCCTCTCCCAACAACCCCCCTCTCCCAACAACCCCCCTCTCCCAACAACCCCCCTCTCCCAACAACCCCCCTCTCCCAACAACCCCCCTCTCCCAACAACCCCCCTCTCCCAACAACCCCCCTCTCCCAACAACCCCCCTCTCCCAACAACCCCCCTCTCCCAACAACCCCCCTCTCCCAACAACCCCCCTCTCCCAACAACCCCCCTCTCCCAACAACCCCCCTCTCCCAACAACCCCCCTCTCCCAACAACCCCCCTCTCCCAACAACCCCCCTCTCCCAACAACCCCCCTCTCCCAACAACCCCCCTCTCCCAACAACCCCCCTCTCCCAACAACCCCCCTCTCCCAACAACCCCCCTCTCCCAACAACCCCCCTCTCCCAACAACCCCCCTCTCCCAACAACCCCCCTCTCCCAACAACCCCCCTCTCCCAACAACCCCCCTCTCCCAACAACCCCCCTCTCCCAACAACCCCCCTCTCCCAACAACCCCCCTCTCCCAACAACCCCCCTCTCCCAACAACCCCCCTCTCCCAACAACCCCCCTCTCCCAACAACCCCCTTTCAAGACCTCCTCGCTCTCTTGCTTGACGTTCCCCGCGGCGGGTGTGCCCCGTCATTCCCTCCCTCCTTGCCTCCCTCCCTCACCTGAATGCAGCCTAGCGCGAACATCATGCCCCTCGCAGAGTTGCACAGGTCTGCCCCCAGAGAAAGGTTCCTCACGATACCGAACCCTGATGTCACCTACGGCACGGGTTCGAGAAGTCACATGTTGTTGTTGTTGTTGTTGTTGTTGTTGTTGTTGTTGTTGTTGTTGTTGCTACTGTTGCTGCTGTTGCTGCTGCACCACCTTACACCACAAATATTGTCCCTATTGTCGTTGTTGCTGTTGCTGACGTCGTGTAGGCGCGGTCGTTGCACCGATCTTGCCCTAAAGATATCGTCTAGAGGTCCCCTTCTTCCGTACCGGGCATAAGGCAAACAAACCTCCACGATGCAAAAAACAGACAGTTCCACATTTTTTCCCGTAACGCTGGCTTCCATCGACCCTGCCGCTGCAAAACGGTAGTGCCGTGATAACAGTAGACCACATGCACAAGCGGGGAAAGAACCCCAACAAGCCAGATTCCAAAAAAACATTCTGAACCACCCACCCACCTTCCCGCTGCAGATGACCTTCACGTCCTCCCTCAGCCCGGCCCCTCTCAGCAGGTCATCCACCAGCACCAACCCTTCCACCAGAGGGGTCCCCACGGAGTTGGAAAACTCGGGGGGCGCGGCACCCGTCCCCCCCTCGGAGCCCTGAACGCGGCAGAGGTTGGTTCGTTCGAGGTCAAGGGGCTGATAATCATTGCGTTACAGAGAAGACGCTATGCATATCCGAGGGAGAAACGGTGGCGATCGGCACCGCTACACACACAAAGAGCCGCACGACAACGGTGTGTACTTGTTGCTCCGGGCGGGGGCGCATGTCTGCCGTGCCCCTCTACTTCCCCCCCTTTTTGGAGACTGGAAAAAGTTGCTTTCCGAGAGATCGGAACCACCGAACAAGGAAATACGACAACGGCGATGACGATATGAGGCTTTGGGTTCTAAAAACTTGAGATGACGACTTTGGGTCCGAAAAACGTGAGATGGAGACAGGCTGCCGTCGGTGGCAGCTTGAAGCGCTGTGCTGCCGCTGCTGTGCTGCAAAAACAAACGACGCTACACACACACACACACCACGGCACGTACACCTCTCCAAGAGCACGCTCCCAACGGCCTCGCTTGTGGTAGCACCAGCGACGCTACCTTAAGCCCCTGCTCCTCGGAGACGACTACATGTAGTCTTGGAGACAACACACACACCCTTGGAGTCACGCACAAGACGCAACGGTTAAAAAACTCACGTCTACCGTGAAAAAGTCGGGGCCGTGGCCCGGCCCCTTCTCCACCATGGCACCCACCAGGGCCGCCACCTCATCGTACTGCCCGACACACCTTCGAGGCAAGCATACATGGAATAAGGGGGCGCACGGGGGGGGGGGGGGGGGGGG